CCCGCCCCTAGGGCCGCGCCGCGGGCCGGGCCCCGGCAGAGCAGCGCCCGCCGCCCTGCAAGTAACCCCGCTCCGGTCCAGGTGAGGCGGCTCCGCCGGGGTCCCAGTCCTGCTGCTCCTCGCTCCGCCAGGTGGGACAGGAGGGAGCGGGGGGCAGCCCCGGGGCGGGCGGGGTGGAGCCGGGACAGCCCCGATGGATCGGGCGGGCTGGAGCCGGGGGCAGCTCGGAGGGGAAGCGGTGGGACGGGAGGAGGTGGCTGCCCCGGGGAGAGCGGGAGGGAGCAGCCCCGGCCGGCCGCCCACTGTGGCGGTGCTGGAGCTGGTGCTGGGGAGAGCCCTGAGGAGGGGGCGATGAGCGGCAGGAGAGGCCCCGGTGCGTCCCTGCCAGGCCCTTCTCTGCCCGGGCAGGTGGGGGGAGCCCCTCGCCGGGGCGCGGCAAGGATGTCTCAGCTAGGGGAGGCGAGGAGTGGTCTTGAGCAAAGCTCTCTGTAACTGTCTGCAATGACTTGGAGCTGGGGACATCCCAGCTTCCCCGGGAAGGCAGTGCTGCAAGAGCAGATCCTGCCGCCTATGGCTTCACCCGCCTCCTGGTTTGTGAGAGCTGTTCCTGTCTGGAACATCTGCTTGTCCCCCCAGCAAAAAGTGCTGATGGCCAGAGACAAGATCCAGATGCATGCATGATGCTCCAGCGATCTCCCCAGGGACCTGTGAGCAACTTCAGGCAATAAACTGTTGTAAGGCAGAAAAGCTTTATTTCCCTCATTTCCATCGGTCTTAAACACAGAGGAACATTGTGTTTTGTTTAGCCTTGCCTGTGAAAACTTGAGGTCCTCTTGGCTTCTCTCCCTGCATGCCCTTTTGGTACAAAATCTTACGACTGATAAAAGACAGAGAGGCTCTAAAACATGGATGTGTAGGAGAAGGCGGCGGCCGAAGCTGCATTCTTTGGAGTGGAATATCCCCAAGTGTCAACAACTACTGCCACTGACCAAAGATGGTTGGGTTTCTTCAGTCACTTGAATTTTTTTCCTCTCATCGCTGGCAGGCTCTGTGCAGCTGTAGGAGGAGTTTGCGGTCACCTCCCCCTCTGAGGTGCTGCGGCCAGATTCCCCCGCTGAGGTGAGCCCCTTAATTCTCCTGGGAAAATATCAAATCCAGTCCAGGGCATGTTATGCTGGTGGCCTGAGGCCATGAAGACCTTCTGCCCCATGGTCCTGTTTCCCAGGCTCCCCAGGCATCAGAAGAGTGCTGCATGCTGGGTCTTTGTGTGGTGATGGTGTCTGTGCATGGTCGTCTTGTGG